GGGGGGGGGGGGGGGGGGGGGGGGGTGTCTTACCTGGCACCAGTATCTGAAGTACTGAACTTTGGCCTTGAAGTCTCGAACATAAGTGATCTGTGGTCCATTTTCACTGTGATGAAGAGGGAAGAGGACAGACATGAGACGCCATACCTCAAAACATATTCCACACAGCCTTAAAATACTCAGCACGCCTACGACAAACAACTTCACTTCAGAATGACGCCGTTCCTATTTAAAAAACGGGCCTCGTAGCTGAGTTTTTGTTCAGTCACGCTGACGTCACGCCACAGCTCTCAGCTGGCACATAATCACAGCGTCAAGTGACTGAGCAAAACCAAACCAGTTTGTCTGCCACTGAAAACTATCCACAGTGACGCCACGCCGCATTGTTAAAGGGGAAGGGAAAGGACGTGAGACGGCTGCAGTCATTCAGCCTCTTCTCTGAATCTGCTGAGACTAACAGCAGCGTCTGCACACAATCTCTGCTGGTCTGCTGTAGTGATAATAAACAAACTAAATACTTCTAGAAAAGTTCTTTTAAGCAAACCTTTGGTTTTAGTAGCAGACTTGAGAATTCATTTGAATTAGCTGTTCTACGTTAGCCCACAATCTGGGGTATTTTGTGACGTTGTTCACTCATTTCTGGCAGTGGAATGTGGCTGGATGACAAATGTAAGCAAAGTATGATGATTATTGTAGCAACATCATAAAGAATAACCATAATTGGAGCAGAACACTTGTATTTAGTGGCAACAGAGTTGCATCACAGCAACTTTATTGCCTCTAAATACAAGTGTTCTGCTGCAATGGGCTGCTTTCCCAAACGTTTAGAGAAAAATACAGAACCACCGGAGAGAGAAAAGGTTCATTCAGTTAGAAAGCAGCATTACACAAAGCAAGTTTAAAATTATGACTAACAAAGGAAATCATGTGTTTTTGTTCTAAGTCTCTATTTAAGCTGGCTCATTAGCTCTTGTCCTCTGTGACTCTCTGTGACTCATAGTTTCAGAAGGCAGTGGTAATCTAGTGAAGGACTTACAGCGAAGACTTCCCGGTGCGCGGGTCTATGTAGGTGGTGGCCCTCCGGTTGTGGTCGACGAAATAAGGAATACCATCCACGGTGAACCTCATCTCCCAGCCCTCTGGAAGCGGCTTCTCGTTCGACAGTCTGAGACAACACAAAAACCTGTGACCTCTAACTCATGAAGAGGCAATTAAATCATGTTGTGAGTGGAACTCAACACACCCTGAGCCTTGTGTTCGGGGGTCCTCCCACTGCGTCGTACGGGTGGGGTGATGCACGAAATAAACTCTGCCAGTGGTGTCTGTCCTCTTCTCTGAAAACAGGCAGAAAAGAGGTAAAACCACTGCATGTTTCAGATGTTACTTCATTTCCTTTGGTACTGCTTTGGGTGAACAAAGAGGCTACTACCTATACATTTTAATAGAATCATTGTTTTATATAAAAATATTAACTGTTTAAGATTCTTTTAGACACTCTTGTGTGTTGTCATATATAGAACTGGCCAATGAGCCTCCTAAGCTAAAAGAATGTCAGTTTAAAAATGTGTTTGCGCTTTTCTGAACACTTTGCTTTGGATCACGATGCCTTAGAGGTGAGTTTGTTACAGTTAAAACATGTTGTCATCTCACCCCATCCGTGCGGCAGAGCCCCAAGAGGATCGAACTCCTCACTCTGAGTGGTTGAGACTTGGTCTTGTGCCTGCATGAAATGTAAAAATGTATCAAAAAGCACTTAAATGCAACTGAAGTGAATATATACAACCAGGAAAAAAGATTTACATAAAAAAACACTTAAATTATAACTGAGAACTCAGAGTGAATATTCGCAAGTCTTAAAACTTTAAATGAGCTGAAAGAACACAAATCCAATCAGAAGTTAAATCATTGTCGGTGTCCTTTTTTTCTTTTCGAGGATCTGAGGACGACCTCCCTTTCAAAATAAGGCGAATCCTCTAATGTGAACAACAGAAAGTGATGTTCTACATTTCTTTCTGTCAGATTGCATCTGCTCAAAGAGTGAGGGAACACCAGATTAAGCTGAAATAATGTGTTACTCCCACAGGGAAAACAATGTGATTTCCACCTCCTAAACACACATGAGAGCTGAGGCCGGCGTGAAGCATGTTTTAGATAGCTCCCTGTTCAAAGTGCCGGGGCTGAGGAACAATGGCCCGCGCTGCTGCTTTCCTGTGGCCTGAACTCTAAAGATATGCAGCAGATGAGCTCTCTGCTGGTGCCATCAGTGTTTAGGACGTGTTGCAGAGGTGGAGCGACACGCGTTGACCAGCCGCTGCCTGTCAGGGCTTTAGGAAAAAGTCATACAGGGTATAGTCGCTCACAAAGTTAGTTCTGATTATATCTAACAAAGAATCCTGAAATGTGAGGTTGTGTATCGGGTTAAAGTTTGTCAAACAACAAAAGCGTATGCAAAATAAAAATACATAAAAATGGCTGGTCAAAGGTGTTGCTGTTGTGTGTTCTGGCTTTGGAACAATGAACTAAAAACAATCCAACTGGACTCTCTTCTATCCAGAGCCCCCAAAGATCCTTTTTTCCTGCAGGATTATAGCCCTGATAATATTCTTGCAGACGGCAAACTGGTGTATCCATACAGGTGACAAAAAATTATTTTTTTGTGTCTTAAACTGTCTGAAGGCCACAGGAAACATTTCCACTTAATAGCTCGAGATATCCTGAAGGCCTTGTGTCCGAGGGAAGCCAGCATAGGCCAGAGATACCAGAGGAGATAAGCTTTTTTTTCGTCTTTCCATGGCCAAGTTTAACTCGCTGTCAGCTACATTCCCCAGCTATTGTTTGGTGTTACAGAGCCTGTGAATTGGGTCAGAGGACCACAGCCACTCTGTGTCCTTTTCCTCCATCCAAAACTGTTCAAATCGTTTAGAAAATTATCAATTAAGGGACCATCTAAGACACACTGGAGTCAACAAACATGCTAAACAGTTATATCATTAAAACCTGTTTATTACGTTCTAGTACAGCAGAACCTTTACTTACATTTTCCTAAACATACAAATTTTCCAACATATGAAGAGAAATTTAATCAAATATTCGACTCGACAACCGAAGTAAATTTCAAACCAACGATATGACATTGAAGTCATAGAAAAATATATATAAAATATCAAAATTAAATCAAAATAAATAAGCCGAGTTAGTTTAAAGTTCACGTAGTGAAATTTAGAGTACGTCCTGTATCTCAGTCTCCACTTCTAACCCCGCTAGCCAATAAAAAAAAACAACTTTTTATTGATTATCTATCTATAATTTATTTATTTTGACATCTCTCTTATATAATGCATTTGTTTTATTGCTATGTGTAATTATCAGCAGTATTTATTAAGGAGTTATTGTAGGTTTTTGGGCTGTGGAACAAGTGATACGAATTACAGTGTATTCCTATGGGAATATTTGAACCAACATACAAATATTTTAACATACGAAGTTGGTCCTGGAAGGAATTAAATTCCTGTGTAGAGGTTCTACTGTGATTAAAATCAGAGGGAGATGGCAAACTTCTGCTTCATCAGAAAGAGGAAACACAGAAAAAGCCCTTTCCTGTAAACGTCACAAAATTCAATGCATTACAACACGACGTCACATGATCAGCCTCACCCCGAATATGAACCTCTGGTTGAACTGCTGCATGGCGCCCTGCAGCTGCCGGCGCTGGTGCTGCCACTGCTCGTAGTTCCTCACCGTCTCCAGGGTGGGACGCTGCCACGTGGTGGTCCGCGTGATGTGATCAACAAAGTAGACGCGCCCCATCTGGTCGAGGCGGCGCTCCCAGCTGAGCGCAGGGGGGAGATAAGCGTGACGGTTAGTAGACTCCCTCTACATTGTCACTAACCATCCATGATTTAAAGCATTTACAGCTTGTCATAATATGGATATGAAGGCTTCAACCATCAAATCTGACAGCAAATCACTACTTTTTAACAGGAACTTTCATCAATATCATGATATATAAGTTTACAAGTCTGTTGATGTTTGGAAGGCAAAAAAAAAAAGCCCACAAATGATGCTGAATGGGTTAAGCTGTTCCAGCTGAAATGGCTTATTTTTCTCTCTAAACTCTGGGGTGACTCATTCCCATGATAATCATGAACAGATGAGGGGAAAATATTTAGATTTATAAGACAACACACTGTTGTTTTGACACATGAACAGAAAAGGACATAATTTTCTATAATCAAGCTACAATTAAGCTGTAATTAAGCTTCTCAAACAAAACCACAAATTACAAGTTTTAAAAGATTCTAGGGGGGCCTGAGTCCAGCATTGTGATACACCGCAGGTGGGTATTAAGCTGAGTTTCAACAGAGAAATCCTGCTGTACTGTCAGCTGGTTGAGAAATCCATGCGTCCTAACATTTTCAGTCAGATTTAAGATCTAATGTGTTCAGATAGATCTGAGAAGATGACTTTAACAAGAGAAACAGGAGCAAGGCATCTGAGGTGGTAATGATATAGTTAATCATGTTCAAAGCACAATTTCCATAAATAAATAAAAAGATATGGTGATTATTATTTTCACCCAGGGGGCAGCGGTTCAGGGCGCTCCCACGACGTTCTCTTTTCCACATGATCAACATAATACAACCTGCCGTTCTGATCCACCCTCTGCTCCCATCTGCACATAAAACGACAAAAAAATTATCAGATTTTGAATACTGAGCACAGCAGTTTGATGAGAGAATGGTTAATAAACACATTTTACCAGAAGCAGAAAGTAAGAATACGGTGTAAGCATGACTAAAAAAAAAAAAAGTTAAAAAGGGAATTTGACGCACAGCTCTGGGAGACTACTGAAAACAGCTCACAGTCAGAAACCTAACGCAGAACCAGTCGTTTGGATTATGCTTGAAACAGCATAAATAATAATAATAATAATGGATTAATAACACATATCCGTTAGTGTGTGGAAACTGCAGTTAACACAACAGGGATTTACACACACTGATATTTAAAACTGTTCAAAAACTAGAAAATTGGACAAAAAAATGAATTCTTTCTGGATTTTAAGAAAGAAACCAAGCAGTATTTTAAAATAAAAGAAGAGAGAGGTTCGAAAATGTAACGAAGGAGTCGTTCAAACTGATGTTATGACATGAAGCTCAGGCTGAACCACAGAAGAACAGGCTTCAGCACGAGTCCTGGCAAAGTCGAGGGGAGAGAAACAGGAGCTCACCCGGGGGGCAGCGGTCCAGGGGGGGCTGCTGGGACTCTGGGGGTGACAACGGGGGCCACGGTGCTGGTGGGCTGCCTGGTGGCAGCAGCTCCAGAGCTGGAGGCTGCTGGGGAGCTGGTGTCCGAGCCCGTCGATGGACTGGACTCTGGGGCTGGGGGGGGGTCCGGGGCCGTGGTCCGCACTGGTGTATCAGAAGCTGCCTGGCCACCGTTGCTACTCTCTGTTGGAGCTGAGCCGTTGGTGGAGGGTGCTGAGGAAAGATTCAGATAATCCAGAGATCCTTAAACCAGGTGAGCACCTCCACCACCAAAAAGATCAGATTCTTCTTCAAGTTATCAGGGTGGGTTAGCTGTGAGGTTGCTTCACCATTCAGAGTAAATGTTTGACATTAACTGGACAGAAAGACAAGACAGTAACCTTTCAACTAAATACAAAACAGATCTGACTGGGTGAAAGTCTGACCTGGTGAAGAGGAGGGTCTGCGAGGGGTGGGAGGGGGAGGTCTGGAGGGCCTCGGGGGCCGGAGGGGCTTGGCTCCCACTGATGGAGACCCTCTGCTGGTCCCTGCTCTGACGGAGCTGGGGGAAGACCTGTGCTCCACGCCATCCACCGCTGGAGAACTGTCTCGACTTTGCCTGGCAGGAGCAGCAGAGATGAAATTACAAAAGCAGGGGACTTCCGAGCAAATTTCTGACCAGAGCAAGAGGGTGTCTGGTACCTTATGGCGTGATCCCCGTTGATTTGCGAATCCCCATTTGATGTACCTGGAAAGAACGAGTGGGAGTGGTGAGCAGGAGCTTGCGTGCTTTTCATGTTAGCCCTTCTCACGACTTCTCTGTGACTCACTGTGAGGGTCGGCTTCGGCCGAGGCGAACGTCTCAGGGTCCACGGTCATGCCATCGAGGCAGACCGACAGGTCGCCCACCACGTCGGACTGGTCTCTGTCGGCACACAGCTGTAAGGTCTGCACCACCTCTGAGACTGCACGGAGACAACATAACGCAGTCAGCACGAGACACCATTAAAAATACACCTAAAAGACCTATTAGTGACTTTAAACAGCAGAACTAATTTTAAAAGGACCCCATGAAGAGTAACTGTCAAATTACTGACAGCTAATGGGGATCCAAATAAATAAACAATAAACTATAAAGCTTTTGGCCAACAGATTACACATTGACCAATTTTAATGGTCTTTTATTTGGCACAGAAGACAAACTGCTCCACAAATTGGAACCGAATTATCGAACAGAGAGAACCCCAGAAAAAAACTTTAGTCTGAGGCTTTTGTTCTGCGTGGTTTTCTCTCACTGGATTAATCAAGAGCTTATTCATAACAAACCCAAATTATGTTTAAATCTGTGCAGAATCTGAACGCTAACAGAACTGGAAAAAGCGTGCGTTTCCCTTTTCTGGAGGAACATTCATCTCCCTTTGTGTGATTCATAACCTTAGTTCTGCATGATTAATATTGCTGGAATCAGTTCATGCTTAAAGTATGACCAGCCAGGGAGCTGAATGGAGTCTGTATGAAATGAGGTGAAAAATAAACCCCATCCTAAATTTTCTGGGGTAAAAGCAGCACGCCGCAATGAGAAAGGCAGCAAAAGTCTGAGCAGCCTCATTTCTTATTAATTACTGTAATACTTTTTGTATTTTACTGTGTGCTGAGATGCAGCTCTATCTATCCGTATCATGCCTAATAATTTACCTCTAAACTCTGTACTGTTCAGCAACAAAGACATCAGGAAAAATGTGATCTCTTCACTTGAAAAATTAATTTCACAGTGAAATGCCACTCTGATATGCACCATTATAAGAAGATGACTTTTGAGTCTGAGAGTCTGTTTAATTAGTGGGTTTTTTATTTCTATGAAAAGCATCTGAGTGAGCATCAGCTTCTTCCTTACTTTTCATGTCGTTGGACTTGAGCGTGTCGGTGATGTCCAGTGTGGCCACGCCCAGCAACACGTCCGACTTCAGGGTCTGGTGGCTCCAAACGCGGAACACCAGTTTACTGAATGGAGTCACAATCCTGTCAGGATAAAGAACATTTTCAAAAACCACAAAAAAAATAAAACTCACTGAAAAACAAGCACGGCTTTGATCCAAAGGAGCCAACGCTGGATTCCACCTGCAGATGCAAAACATAATTTCTTCTTTGTCAAATCATCTACTATCTCACATATTTTACAGCCACATATGACATTTGCAACAGCTTTTGCATGTTTTGCAGCCATAAATAACAGCAGTGAGAATGATTCTAACATTTGCCACCGTCCGTGTGGGCAGAGGAAGTCTTTGTTTGAAGTGAAAGCAAATCACACCCAGCAAAGTTTAGAAGGACGGGTGTCTATGGCCATCACTATGACAGCTGCTAACAGCTAGCACAGGGGCTCAGGTTCCATTACCTCCCCCAGTAAAAACGTGTTATGCCATAACACCGCATGCACATTTTTAATGAAACTGTAGAGGAGCTCTATATTAAGAAGCTTCTTCCACGGGAGGGGGGGGGGTCATCTCCCTGTTTCTTGACTTCACTGACCAGACTCGCTCTCATAGGTCTGGATTCAAACTACATGAATAATCTGGGGGAAAGTTTCCGGCAGCCCTGAGAGACAGCGATCTGAAACATGCAGCATAAGAGCAGAAGAAACAGATAACAGGGACCGACAGCAATAAACTGGAACACCAGGGAGGAAAACCGCCAATTAAAGCCGAGTCAGGTATTTCTCCAAAAGGAAACACAAACCTTGACATAACTGTAATTAAAACCAGCAAATAAGCTTCTGTTCTTAAAATATTTGTTTAAAAGAAAATCATGATTAAAACCTCTGTGTGTATTAAAAAATAATACAATAAGCCATTATAGAAATACAGAGTTCACAAATCATCATATATCTTTAAAAAATATACATTTTTCTTATATGTGTGTACATATAGCACTATGTGTGTATGAAAGTGTCCGAAAATGATCGGTTTTTGCATAAATATACGGCATATTGTGTCACCTGTTTCTCATATCGTATTCTTATGTTCAGCTGTGATTTTTCTTAAATTGATGCTGCATTGCCCACAAAACTTCTATGTAACAAACCACCAGAAGTCTCGTCAAAATTAAGAGAATGAAAACTGTGACGCGTGTCTGAAGTGTAGCGGGAGGTATTCTGACTCACACAGTGAGCGGCTGCTTCCATTTGGGGCTGTGCGTGTTGGTGCATTTCTCGGTTTTCTTGGACTGGCTGTCGACTGTCACCTCTACGTAAGGACTGGGACCAAACCAGTTCTTCCTGTTTTCCTTAAGTTTTGCTGACAGCACTGAAACACAAAGAGGACACCCGATAATGGACAAGCAGATGCAGCATATGGAGATAAACAGAATGAAAACAAACATCCAGGAAGAAGGAAATTGTTTAAACAAGCACCAAAAGGGAAGCCGAAAGCTCAGACAGAAACACGCCTTTGAAACATAACACAAGCCAGCATTCTAGCAATATTACAAGTACACTGAAAACATCCACAAGCTCACACAGAAAAGATAAGCTGACACGTATTCTGGGGTTTTTAGAGATGAATGCTTACCGATGATTTGCAGCTGGGCCTTCATGGGGTAGCCATTGGAGGTGCCTTTTCTGGTGACTCCACTGGCCATGACATAGGGCTGGGAAAAGGACCTGGAGGAGAGAAAAAAACAACAACAGGTCGTTAGGGTGGTTCCAAATCGGTTCTCCCTTCAACAGACATGAATACTAAGAGAATGAAGCAGCATGCACACCCTTAAGTGCTTCTCAAATGTGTGCATTCCTGCCAGCTCACAGAGCACCAGAGGTTTACTGCTTTATTGCTTTAATAGACAGTAATTTCCTCACTATTTTCCCAGCAAATCGAAAACAAGAAAGACAGTCAAGTAGAAATAGGTTAAACTAATATGAAAGTGCCTCCATTACACTTACATGGAACGTAGTAACAGAAACTGTAACCAATGAAACAATTTCTAGGTTGAGGGAACTTTTTCTCTCTCTTTTTTTTTTTTTTTTTTAGAAACATGCATCTACTAAAATAGTTAAATTTTTTCTGACCGGGCAATTCTTCTACATGGAGATTCTACATTTATACATAGCACACTTCTCCCAGAATTAATCTTTAACATAGTGATAAAACTACTTTGAATTACTTCAACACTTAAAAAACAGAAATCAATTATTCGTCAGGTCCTCGTGTGAATCATACAAAAGGTGTAAAACACGGGAGGGAACCAAAGGAGACAAGTTATGTTTCTGTTACTGAAATATGGCTTGTTTCAGCCACCTTATAGAAGTTTAAGCACCTCCAGCTGGTACAAGACGTCTAAATAAATTTAACTAATCTGCATGCAAAAAAAAAGAAGAGACTTAGCCAAATAAGGTGAAAGAAAACGCATGTAGACGTTCACACAATGGAAACCCATAACGACAGAAGTCAATGAAAGGCAGTTGAACAGAAAAGGACACTGGCACAGGAAGCTGCCGCCTCGCGGGTCCCCGTCATAAACCCCCCCCCTCAATAATACATCCCTCTGTCTGTCCCATCCAGTGTGCACCTGGACTGTGAGAGAGAGTGAAAAGCTCCTGGGTAAACTTTCACTCTGCCTCGATCTCGGTCAATAATTCAGTGCGGCGTCTGACTTTGGAGCGTCACGAGCGGCTGACCTTGTTTTTCGAAGACAAAGGTTTTCACAGAATATTAAACTCTTTGCTTTTATTTAGAAAGCTGGAGGTAAGACCTCGCAGGACTACAGACATGAGCTCAGACTGCAGCTTGACCTCTGACCCCTGAAGTGCACATGAACTACTCACTTAGAAAATAATCAGCTCTTTTACAAGAAGTAATAAACCTCTCATAAAGGATAGAACTACTAAAATTAAACTGCTGCCAATACAGTCCCCTGGATTAATGCCATGAAGGAAAACACAGTCCTGGTTTCAAATACCACTGCACAACAAATATGTTCTATCTATTAGGATGCTTCAGACTCCTTCCACTCATAAGAAAAATGCCAACTGCAATGACTATCCTGAGAAATCAACGCAATTATTTCCTCTACACATTTCCGTATTAAAAGGGGACTAAAGGCAAGAGACAAGAAAACGGCACCAAACTTCTGAGTCAAGGCTTGACTTAAGAGAGATTTACAGTAGAGGTTAAATTCTGCTAAATTGTTGTTACATGACAGTTGTGAGTCGTTGCTTTGAGACGTGACAATCACTCATCTAAGGAGGTTAAACAGCAGCTTACTGGAAAAACAGAGCAACGGGAACACAGCCTGTAATCTCAACAATGACGTTTGACAGGTAAAAACGCGAGAGTTAATGGCATTTAAATGGTACGTCCTCAGCCTCCACAAGTAAAAACAACCAAGCTAAAACACTGGATAACAAATTGAAATGACCAAACTTTAAACCTCCAATCATTTAGGATAAACAACTGTCTGTTACTCTGCATCCCTTCTCCTACAACTATAAACTAACAAACGTTAGTGTGACGACCACGATTATATAATTTTCTTAAACTCGGAAGACACGAGCCGCTAACGCTACATAAGTTAGCCGAGAACGGGATTTCCGGTAAGCCTTTAAACTGTACCGACAATAAACGGCAAGCAGATATAATAGGAACAGTGTAGTGAATCGAGTAGCTCTGTTCATTTTGAATGTCGGCTGGTTGTCGGGTGCAACAACCTGATACCATCCTCGGCGCCGGCTAAAGCTAGCTATGTCATCATGGAGGGATCCCAAAGTGCGACGGACACCGTGACGGTTTGAAACAAAATAATTAGCTCCTATCTTACCGTGTTTTATAAATTACGCTGTTAAATCCGTTTAGTGGCGCGGAAATGTTGTCCCAGCCCTCGTCCTGCGGGGTGTTTGGGTTTAAGCAGGGCTTTCACTTCAAGGAAGAAGAAACTTCCACCATCTTCGCACGCTCCCGTCACGTGACCGAAACAAGGTGGGGCGCATGCTAGTTTGCCTTCGCGCTGTGATTGGGCAACAGTGGGAACCTGATGAACCAATAGGCGATCAGTAAACACACTGATGCGTTTAAAGTCCCAGCGCGAATATTGTACAAACATTTTAGAAGAAAACCTTACTCGTAGATTAAACGTTTCTGTGTGCTCTATTGAATGTTCAACTATAGTCTAAATACATTTATATGAACGAATATAATTGTTTATTTTTTTTCTAAGGAATGACCTGCACTCTTACTAATACGACCCTGGAAGTGATCACATCTTCAATAAAATAATATCGTTGTTTTCAACTGAATTCTGCATATATATAATAAAAAAGTCATATGTATTTGACCAAGACAAAATGTGTCACTGTCTTATTACCATAACAATGGGGTTCCCAGTTTTACATTATTTGTGAAATCACTCATTTGTTCATATTCGAATTATGTCCTTAATCTGTTATGAGTTTGTCTTTTGATCTGACTACAAACAGAAGATGTCGCTGTTTGACAGCTTCACAGTGAAAACAAGGCTGAGGGTTATGGACATGGAGGTGTAAAGGTAGATTTTTTGATATAGATATAACATTTCACGTGTGTCTTTGGATGAATGTCTCAGTCGATGCGGCTTTTTAAAAAAATCACACTGCAAGAGATGACTTAAAAAACACAAGTCTAAGATACTTGCCTTATTCTGCAGAGGGTTAGTGCACAACAAGTGATTTTTTTACACGATGAATGGAGATGGAGTTAGATCGCATTTCCTTGCACTTCCTGAGTGCATTATTCTGACAGTGGTGACCGGAAGTCAGCGTCGGTGACGTCGCCCGGCTTGACTTGAGGCTTTGTGGAAGGGTTTGGTCAGTGTTGATAGAAGGACAGCATGAGACGCTTTTTCACTCGGACCATGCAAACCCTTGAGCATTTGGAGGAAAATACCGTTTGACATCTCAGATGAAAAGGTAGGCCAAAAATGTACCCTCCACTTTTGTTGAATAGTTCAGAAGTGATTCATTGCTGAGGTTTTATGAGGCTTCACTTGAATGCTTTAAAATTAGTTGATAAAACTCAGGGTGTAACGCTTTTTCATGCACATGAAAAGAAAAAAACTGTAGCAATGCAAAACGCAATAAAAAAGAAAATTTAATTGTGAGATTTTTTTGTTGCGTCCCAACTATAAAGTCAACACAACTACTGATAAACATGTTCACATATCCTGAATAATGACCATTCTGGTGATAGTTTTTATTATAATGCATGTTACAGATAAGTATCTCTGATTCTAAAGGTTAAATATCAAAGGTTTACGACTTTTTCTCTGTGTTTTTGTGGATATCAGTAAGGAGTCAAGTGAGTTTGGGGACGATGACACCTGTAGCTGTATTTTTTCCCCATTCCTGTTCTGTATCTAACAAAATGAACTAATAACATTGTTGTATTTATCTCCATCAATATCAGACAGAGGGAGGACGAGTCCTATGGTGTTATTACTATAAGTAGCGATCATCCGTCAATACTGCTGTCACTTATCTGGAGTCGCTTATTTTTTTGTCTCTTACTGACTCAAAGCAACTTTTTTTTAATTCGGCCAAGAGTTGATGAGAAAGATTTCCTGGATGTCTGTTCCTTTTTACCTTCTCTGCGATGTTAAATCAGACTGAATGCAAACATGGTGTACAGAAGCATGCTGGTCTGTTCTGGTTGGCTGCTTTGCTTTTGACTTGCGGAATTTGCATCACTCCAGAGGGATTTACATTTACTTCTCCGTGCATACAGTCAGTCACCAGACAGCTCTGCTGAGACCAGCAGGATTGGTTGTGTTTGTTGGAGTGATTTCCTAAAAAATGAGACCCATCTAAAAAAACTGTCTATGCAGAGTCAATGTCAGGGCGACTCTTTTTTGTGTCACCATCAGGAGCTGTTACCCAATTTCCTTTGTGAGTTTCTAATCTGCCCGGGCTGTTGCTTTAGTGAAACACCCGCTGCCATCTATAGCTTGGAGTTGTAATCCTCAGACCCAGCGCAGTGATCTCAGATCAGCTTGACATTTGAACACCTCTGAATGTTTCCTGGACTCCGCGGTCCGGCCCGACTCTGCATCTGCTCGTGGGAAACTTTCACCTCCCGCCCACAGCAGTGTCCCAGTGTGTCTTTGCCTGGAACAGCCTGCTCTTGCCAGGAAGCTATCAGTATATTAATAGGTGTTTTGGCCTCCGCTTGGGTCCCAACCCCCCAACTTGCTTTCCAGTTTTCATAACACAAGCAAGCCAACAAGCACAACCCCCCCCCCCCCCCCCTCCAAATACATGAAGAAACTTGGGCTTATTTTAGCCTCAGTGGTAGATAACTGACATGTTGGGCTCCCCTCTCTGTGCAAATAATAGCTGCAGGGGTGAGGGGGTTGTTGTTGGGGTAGTAAAACTATTTTGCCGGAGAAGAAATCCTAGAAAGAATGCTAAATATGATTAAATCGGTCAAAAATAAGGATGCTGGTTTAAAAACACGATTTTGCATTCTTTAGTCCGTTTTTTTAAGTGAGTAAAACAAAAGTGAGATGAAGCAGGACCAGAAGAAGAATCCAGCTCCATGCTGATGGTGTCAGGCTGACCGTAACGGAGAACTGTGTCAGGCTTAAACAGAAGCTGATGAGTAAAACTGCCCATTTTGGTTGTGTAGTGGAGCTTTTAAGATAAGGGTCCTTTGACAAATTCAGAGCTCTGGAAGTTGGATTTCGTTACATATTGCTTTGTATAAATACATTTAAAAAAGTCACCTTCTTTACACACTCTGGTCCGTTTTTGGTAACTCACATTTCGGGGCTTCTTAGATGTGCGTCATTATGTGTTTAAACAAAGCCAATCGGCGTCACGGCTTCAGCCGAGTGACGACAGCACGACCGAGGCGGCGGGTTCCATGATGCCAGCTCGGTCCTCCCATAAATAGGCCGGTTAACTTCTTCCTCGCTATCTCAGAGGCTTATCAGCTATGGATCAACTTCAAACCTGATGTGCAACAAAGCTGCGTCCAGGTCAGCGTGAGAGTCAGTCCTCAAAAGTCCCGACTGCCAACAATTTTGATAGAAAACATCTATTTTTTAGCCAAATTTCCCCAAAAGCTTTTGTCCAACATCATTCATTCAAATACAAATTAAACATATTTCCACGACATGTCAACTGGTGGTCGCTTTAGACAATAATGATGGCTTTGTTTATTTGTTTCTTTATTTTATTCAGGCACACATATCCCACTAAATAGTCCGATCATTACTTACTGGCTCAATGACTTGTCCGCACAATATGTTTAGGTGGTTCTCTTCAAAAGGCGTTGTGTAGTAGAGTGTGCAATGATGAAGTCAAAGAAAGAATATGCTCATTTACAGTGAGAAAAGTCATTTTCACAGACCAACCCCCCCCTCCCAGAGGAAAGTTATCTCTTGGCTTCAGTTCAACAATGAAAGAGGTAGTTTTTACTGCATATGGTCTGTTCTGTCAACCAACAGCCTCACATTTATTGGGGCCGTCGTAACACTTTTACTACTTATTTAACTTGGAAAGCCACGAGGGAAGCCATATTTTATCTGGTGCTGTGTAGTATTACTGGACTTAATGTCAGACCAGGTGATACGCTTCCATTTTTGGTTCTGCAGACCTGCCTCTCTGATGCCTTTCTGATATGTCAAACAACACTGTGACTAATAACCAGCTTTAGCTTTTTAGTTTAGGCACGTTCCTTCACAACTTGGAGATTATAGTCGTCTCTGAGCCAAGTTCCCTGAAAGCACAGACTTTAGCCCACTTCGATTTCATTTTCCACTGATGGCATGGATCCAAAGGACTATGCATAGTGCAGATATATAAAACAATACATCAAACAGAGGCTGGAAAATGAACAAAAAATTGAATGCTGCAGTACTTTAGTTCCCATTGTTACAATAATAAACCTACATATCTATATCTAGAAACTCCACATATATTAGCCAGACTGCAGCTGTTCTAAGGGAGGCAAAACGTATTTTATTTTTTTCTTAAAACATATTTTGAAAGGCAAAGTACACAGCATTATTGTGCAATGGGCTGTAAGTCATTTGGTGCTTTAGGATGTTGCTTCCTTACTCTGGTATGTAAAACTATTGCAAATGACTCCACTGCTTCAAGTGTAATTTAATAAGAAACAATGTTAACGTCTCCTTTTGCATTTCAGAACAAGTTTGGGAAATGTAAATATTAAGTGTAATGTTTACCACCTTGCTATAGATGGTAAAAAAAGCATCATCTCCAGATATCAGATTTTCGACCCAATTCTTCAAATGGAACTTTCTCTTGTTTGCGTTTGCATAAAAAAAGTCAATGAGAAGATTCGCTCCATCCTCTCCTTAAATGAAAGCCCCGCCCACCTTCCCTCACCCTACATGTAACAATGACTTATTTTTAACCTGTTGGGCTCTTTAGAAGTGGAGAGTAGAGGGAACGGAGGAAGTGGTGGCAGGATAACAGATGAAGATAATCGCATCCTGAACCTCAGTCCTTCCTCTGCCTCCCCCTTACGCAGAGACGCTGGTTTTCTGCACCCCCTCTCCAGTGAAACACAAACAAATAGGAAGAGTGTGTGAGCAGATGCACGCATGCTTGAACCAAACGGGCTCTCTGGAGAGCTGCACCATGGCAGTCTGACCTTTAAAAAGTCATCTAGGACAGCTTAGTCCAGAGAGCTTAGGGACTCTCTGGAGTTTCACTGATAGAGATGCATTTTTTGGGAAGTCCCTTAACTGGAACATTCAGAGAAGACCTCTTTTTTTCAGCAGATGCTTTTAGCTTTTCAGTCCACAAAATGATACATTCAGTCAAACGCACATGTAGAACAAGCGTTATGAAACTATTAACCAAGGAAGTTCAACACGGTGAGATAAACACTCCAGAGCTCCAGCTTCAGTCTTCGTTGGGGGATTAACAATATTAGTTTGTTGTATTTACCAAAATTCCACGTAAATGCCCAACCAAAACCAAGAAACGCTTAGGGGTCCAAAGACTTATCCTTGGAGTGGTTGCCTTAAAGATCCTGTTGTTCCGTCCTTGTAGTTCGGTCATATATTACTTTGGGATATAAATGTACCTTTCAGGATCTTCAAAAGTACAAGAAAGTCTCCCAGGAGACGTGAATGTTCTCCTACTGTCTATTTTTGACTGGGATCAAATGGCTCCTGGGTGGACTTAGTCAGATTCAAATGGACCTTGACCTTCTGAACGTACATCCAAGACATACTGGCATATTTAAAACAATATGTGAGTGTGACCTCATGATGTCCAACTGAAATCATGAACAGTCAAGACTCCAATAACCAGATTGAAGTGAATTATCAAGTGATTTTTAACCCCAAACTTAATGTTTTCCACCCAAAGATGAAGGTGGACATGTCGGAATTAAAACAACGTGTTTTTCAAAAGTTTAAACCGAGTAAAAAGTCAAAGAAACCAAAAGTAAAGTGCAGAGGAATTAAGACAAAGAAGTCAGGAACCCACTCCAGGGTGGTGCTTGCGGTGTTTTTCACTGGCCGTCCAATATTCCTACAGGTGATGCATGAGGGACAGATGTGTTTCTGGAAGGACAAAAGCTTTGCTGACCAAAGATCACTGGGATAACTGTTCATGCTGGAGCAGATCCATACTTCTCTGTGGAGGCAGAGCTTGAAAAAGTGAGAAGGTAGAGTGTAGGACGGTATTTCAAACCACAAGATCGTCCTCACTAAAAGCCCAGAGAGTACACGTACCCTTCATTCTTTGTCCAAACACAACCGACAGCTTGTTCCGGACCAGTGAGCGGCATAAGATTGTTTGGATTAATAACAAGACCATTGGATCAGATTAGGAACAACTAACAGTATTTACAGGAACAAAGAAGAGACAAATGAGTTCCACTGAACCAGAACAAAATCCACTATCGGCAAGACAAATAACCTCCCCCTCCCACTGACCCACTCACTCCCCCCCAAGGCTCTGTCTGAACTCCTGAACTAAATCTGGTGTGGGAAAACAGCCGGGAAACCACACTTCGAATCAGATTAATGAATTAATTGGTGGATAATGATGCGTATTTGTGGAAAACGATATAGCCTTCACAACAGTTTTCAGAAAAAGTTACTCATGATTGAATCAAGTTCTTTTCTAATGGACTGAACTATCGCCCACTTTTACTTAAGATGCCTCTCCCTCTAAATGAGTTACGATCTCCTACTTTTCCCAGAAGTGTTCCTGGGCATCCTCCAATTGATGGCGATGTTCATGCCCAGCATGGATGAAATTGTGTAAACCCCAGCCTCTCAGAGCCAGACTAACACACCCAGCTAGTGCAGAGGTGGATGTCATCACTACAGACACACAATTAGGTTCAAATGGGCCCACACACATGCTCCAAACTTAATCTACAGATTCAAGTGTATATAATGCATCTGCATTTAGATTAAAGCTGCTATAATTAATGTTTTTCTGTTTTTTTAATCGGAAATCTAAATCTTTCTGTCACTTAAGCCACTCTGCTATGGTAAAAATGTGATTTGTATAACAGCTTCATGTGAAAATGTTGCCCTTTGGAGCCACATCCGCACATCTAAAATGCCAATAATCAGCTCCATCGTTAAAATCATGTGACTATCAGTGGATCTCTGAATCAACATGACATTTCCGGCAGGACTAAATCTGTTTAATTTCGATCACATTATCGTAATAAAACCTTCTCTGAGTCGGGAAACGTCCCCTCGGTAATGTCCCAAATGTTGCTTAATGTTTCAAGGAATTTCACTGGCAAATACCCCCAATTAATAAAAAAAAATCATGATTATTTGAAACAATTTGATAAATTCCTGAAAAAAGTGGGGGTTTTTTGGTTGTTTTTCTCTGGAGTGTTGCTATTGTCATGGGTCATCACTTTGGAATGATGGGAAATCCAAATGTTGTTTTTTTTCTATTAAAAAATGTGATTATTTTATTACCCCTGACAGTGAGTCTGCTGTGACGTGGAGCAGGGCGTTGCCCCGATCCGAGAGACATTACTGCCTCAGTCAGTTAGGCAATCACAGATATAGGCTGGAGGAAATGTAGAGACTAGAACTGCAAACCTGAGCTTTGCACCTACACTAAAAACACAAGGGTTAAAAGTGTGAATGTAGCAGAACAAAACCCAGATCTGAAGCTATCAGCCAGCAGAGTTTTCTCCTCTGTTGTCAAGGGAGAAAACTATTGCATTATCAAACTATCTTCCTCTTAAGATAACTTGAACCAATTCTTTTTAGATGAACAAATAATGCCTCCTGTGCTGCAGAAGGGAGTGTTTCAGAGATAGGATAAAATAGCAGAACCACCACGAGGAACCAGTCAAGAAGCCAAGAGAGGGAAATAATAGGGCTAATAGTTAGTTACATGTCATTTTAATCTTGAGTGCATGAGTAGTGGCACCAGATGCAACTGCTACTCCTTACCAGAGATGTCAGGGCTGCAGGGTGGGTGTCATTGGTGTCTTCTCGGGTATTTCTAGTAGGACTTTGGCATGGCAATACATAAACACGGGAAGGAAATGAAGAGGTTGAACACCAGCCAAAGCAACACGGCACGGTTATTGTTTAAAAAGATACCTCTTTGCCAGGAAAGCTGTTTCTAAATAATTATAATAATAATGATTTATTCATTTTAGATAAGGGAAAATGGACGATCGACCTCCCTGTCCGATTTATTTCAGCAAGAATTAGGCACATTGTCCTTGATTTAAACTTTTAAAACTTTTTTGGGGGGAAAATTTTGATTAAAGAATTTTTTTAAATAGGTCCATGACTCCACCGCTATACTACATAAACCCATGCTGTGATATAAGGAAGCACTGTCACGGGAATGCTAGTTGGCTAATTCATTTTCAGTAAAAAAAAAATTCAGTTAATTATTACAGTGTTAGCTGAGATTAAAAATTCTTTTTTTAAAAGCCCAAGAGTTTAAAGACAGGCCTTTGAGCTGCTTGTTTTCAGCCCATAGCTCATAAATAATGCGGCCCAAAAACAAGGATCACTTTATACGTGCAAAGATCATTTTAAGACTATTAAAATACACCAAAAGGAACAATCATGTGCAAGTTTACAATCTGATCAGTATGACAGATCCACAATCTTTTAAGCAACACTGACTCCTGTAGCGAAAGCTCCCTCTCGTGTAAGTTAATTTGCGTCCTTGCTGCAAGTAGTCATAACTGCTAGTGGGCAATAGGAAATGGAGCTAACGAGGTTTTAAATGTATGACGAGCGTCAGTCATTGTCTATGTTTTGCTTTCATTTCGAGGGTAATACTATTACACAAATATCAACAAATGGCAGTGTAACCAACAGTGCTGACACTCATGCTTATGTTGAGGACAAAACTAATAAAAAAAATTAATTAAAAAGTGCTTTTAGGCATTAAAAAGATCGAGCTGGATGTTCTTCAAATTTCTAATGAGTCAGTTTGGGCATAAAAAAGACCTGAATTACAGACCTACAAAGAAAAGTGTTAATTTGTCTTGTTTTTTGGAAGGCAAAAAAATTAAATTATAATAAAATCGGCCTCTCTGCATGCTCGGATATAGCTGTTTTTTCTAAAAGTCTTTTCATTCTTCTCACTTTATTCAGTGTGCGTTCTTTGTCTGCATCACCTTGATTAAAACTGAGAAAGCAATGAAGGAAAAGAGGCAAAAAGATAAGGCCAAAGTTTCTCTTATTGTTACCATTAAACAAAGACAAACCAAACTACTTGGCTGAAACCCCCCTGATGCCTTAGCGGCTGCCAAGGTATTATAATCTGAGCGTGCCGGTCCTTGGGTGTACAATGTCCTGAGCTGGGAACAAGACATCGCTCGAGGGAACTGTGTACATAACAGATAGAAAGCAGTCATTGTTCGCGTCTTGCTGAATGGAATTGTTTTTCAAAATGTTTGGGGGTGTTTCTGTGTTTGTCACAATTGTCAGCGACAGAAACTTAAACTTCGGTTCAACGGAAAAGATGACACGACTGTGTTTGTAATGTGGAGCACGTAGGCAGGGATCTATCTATCTATCTATCTATCTATCTATCTATCTATCTATCTATC